CGTAAAGCCCCTTTCTCTCAGACACCCCCGTCTAATTACACACCATTACGTGGGTCTTTTCTCCATCCTGTAATTATGCCTCCGCCGCACGTTCAGAAAGTGCTTGTTACAACTCGCAGGGTCTCCGGGAAGGGAGGGGGGCCGTCTGCCTGCCGTCTCACTGTTAAAAACTCTACGGTTTAATATCATCACAGACGCAGGGCGGCGGTGATCTGTGCAGGAGTTCATCTGCTGAACACCAAAAGCATGACTGACCCCCCCGTCGCCATCGCAGCCGGAGAAGCTTGGCCCCCATGTTCTTTGAGATGTTGTCATTATTATTATTAATTATTATTATCATCATGTTTATAGTGGTTGTCGCTATTGCAGCTCTGATAATACCCTTTCTATTTACCAGAACATGCCAGGACATTCCAAGCACGGGTTTCACACCCCGCCTCTGACACGGACCGGCCCACATACCACGACAGCACGAGACTGTGAATCTACGGGCCACAACGCCGCAGAACCGGCTGCTGAGCTACACAGCACCCCCCCCCCCCCCCCCCCCCCCCCCGCTTCTGGCAATGAGCAAAGCTGCCCTTCTGCTATAAATACCCCCAAAGCCACTTTGCATCGCATAAACGGCCGAAACACCTCTTTTATTGGAAGCGCTTCATTAGAGGCGCTGTGTAACCTCTCCAGTTACCTTAATTTGCCTAGCAAAGTTTAACAAGGGACTACAAGCGGCTTATAAAGGGGAAAGTAAACGGTGCCCAAAGAACAATTAAACATAAGAATAAAAACAGAAGCGGCGGCAGAGGAGCGAGGGAGCGGACAGCAGGCAGTGGCGGGGGGGGGGGGGGGGGGGGGCAGCCCAGGGCCACCTTTGGTGTCAGAAGCACAGACCATTAAAACCAGCCTGATTTACTGCAATCATATTTAGGTGGCCACACCTGACTCTTAAAATTATTCAAACTTCACGATTAAAGGTTAACGCTGACTATGACGGGAGTCAGTCTGATGAAATTTTAACTGCTCGGCAAACACCCCAAGGTCACTACGCAGCTCCTTGCTAATTTCGCGCATGTTCCACAATCCTGCAAAAAGACACACGACTGAGCGACTTGCACGTCTGAGTGGAGAGTTAAGTAAAAGGAAGAAATTAAGGAAAACCATTTCCTGTGATCAGTCTGTCCCTGCTAGCTTGAGGAAAATCAACTAAAAATATAAGTCTGTTTTTCAGACAAAGTCTTCTGTTGTCCTTGCTTGTATAGACAGTCCAGTTCTTCAAGAACTTGGCAATAATTCACCGCAACTTGAATATAATCCATAGCTAAGTGGGTGCAAAGTACACATCTAATACTATTGCCTTTCCTTATGCAACATGGCTCTCAAAGAGATACCTTGATTAACCAACTGTTCAGCTCTATTTAAGGAAGACGCAAAATATGAAGAGAGATTGTGTGAGGTGTCTAAGGTATGGGCTGCGGAAACCTTCTTCATGGTGTCCTATTATTACAGGAGTCTTTTTGAGGTAAACCTGTCACCCAGCTTCACTATAGCAGGAGGAACATTTCAGATAAATTCAGCTCCTAGCAGGAGTGCGTGTCCTGGGACCAGCGAGTCTCTGTCCTTATCACCGTGCNCCCCCACGGCCAGTTACAGCAGCACTCAGCCAGGCAGGATGCGGGAAGCAGCAGAAACGATCACTGGCTGACAGGCTGGGGCTGCGGAGCGGTACTGCGCTCCCGCTAACTGCTGACAGACCTTTTTCTGGCTCTCAGGGAGAAAAAAAGCGTATTTATTCATGTCATAAGATAATATTTTCATATTATTTGCACAGATATACACATACATAAGGCAACATGAACATGATCTCATCTGCAAGTGTCCAGCAGGGTCCAGCGACTCACACCTGCACCTCTCCTAGTTACACCACAGAATAATAAACTATATTAAAGGGCAGCACACTAAAAGCCCCTCTGAATTCCCAGTCTGATCTCCATCAGTTTCATTAACATTGACTCCAGTGTTTACACATGGGCACAAAAAAACACACTTTGGCATGTTTCATTGGGCAGTTCCTTTAAATAAGGGGTAATAAATTAACATATGTCCAATTAAGCTGGTTCCTTTGTCACTACAGTGACAATCGCAGACCAGACTGCCCACTACAGGCACGCCAGGTGAAAATCCCATTAAAAGAAGCGGAGATATTCATCCCTATTACCAAAGCAACCCTAAGAAACAAGATTTCAGTAATTTTATTCCAAAAGACTCTTACAGGCAACCTCGGCCGTATTATATAAAGGCATTAATAAAGAAAATTTGCTTGTGGGCAGTGTGTAGGAAGTGCCCGGTCTGCAGCGGCAGGTGACGGCGCCACATTAACAGCGTGCTTGCCCCAGCGAAGGAGGACTTTTTAATCTCAGAAAAGGACCCGCTGTAATCATCATTCTATAGACCACTAAAAGTACACCATGCGTATATCGGATTGTTAGAAAGCTGCGCGCATTTTTCCGATCATGGGCACATTTCAGATCAGAACTCAGTGACATTTAAGGTCAGTATAAAGGGACGCTTGCGCTGGAGGATACCGGGCCATGCCACACAGTCACGCGCAGCTGATGCAGGGCCACAATGACATTAATGATCGGTGACAAACGGCGTGTCAACACACGCACCGGCACATGCAAAGCGTTTCCCACGTGTAACCGCAACTTCAGCGCGACACTCGGGGAATGGGGGTTAGTGGGTGTAAAAGAATTAATAGAGACTTATCGAATATCCTGGAAGTGACCCGCGACACACCCCCGAAACACATGCAAACACACATGCACAAACCAAGGCACGCGCGCGAACACAAACACACAGGCGCGTGCGGATACGCGCAGCTTTTGGAAACATATTCCCGCATCCGGATACCCACCTGATGAACAGGTGACGAGGAAAACGGCGAAAGCAAGTTTTGTAGCAGCTCCCATTTTTTCGTAACGGTATCAAATCACCTACTGCGCCAAAATAATTATGGGAATAAAAAATAAATTAAATCCCACGGCGGCTAAACCCGGCGCTGATTGTGCACTTCTGCTGCACCCGGGGAGCTGAGTACAAAACGCACAGATTCCTGTGCAGCACAAATGCGAGTCTGGGTACCAGCCGAGAGGCTCTATCAGCAGTTTGTTGGCAAAATCCTAAATCCTGGGAAAAAAAGAGAGAAACCCTACTCCAAGATCCCCTGTGCGGACAACTGAGTTTGACAACCATGTGTCATTTGGCGGAAAGCTTATTCTCCTCACGTCGACAAAGGGAAAAACAAGCAGCCACTAAATATTGCAGGGATCCCACGTGGAAAATCCTAGGATGTCAGCAATCGTCTCACTTGGAAAAGCTGGCAAAACACAAATGCTGTTCTAAATATAATGCGATCATTGTTTATCAGCTTGTTGCTTTGGGGAAGGGGTTAGTACAAGCCAGGCATCCGCAACACTGCTGTTCAAGAACTTAAGGGGAAAAAAAATCACGTATGCATGTATACATATATTTCAGAGGAAGCCAACTGCGGCGACAAGAGAAATGCCGTCTTTCGGGTGTTTTGGACTTTTTCACAGGATGAAGCGGGGAGCCCAGCCACTCCGCGGCGAGAGCGGTGACATGTCACCATCTGCCCGCGATCGATGGCGTTAAATTAAATTAGAATTAAACGTCTTGTCACTCCAGCCTGGTCCGCAGTCATGAAAAACGCTCTCCCGAGACTGGGTTCGGCGCACATCCACTCTTCCTCGGAATCGCGAGTGACCCAATCCTCAAGAAAGTTGAAGGGGGGAGGAGCAGCTCTTCTAGCAGGATTCAGGTCCACATTTCGGGATGCACTGCCATGGCGCTGCTAAAAATTCCCGAGAAACACCCGGAAAACACGCGGGCATCTCGGTGCTCTGATCGAACCTGTACCAGACCGCAACCACCGCGCTGCTGAACATCGATCCTCCCTCTGCTGCAAGACGCGGTCGGTAAGCCCGTCGCCAGCACTGGCTTATGTAGCCCGAGAGGACCCGATGAGAGTAGGCTTCAAACCGAGCTTTTCCGATCACTTCTCGCCGATCCGGAGGGGTAGGGAGGTGGACTCTGGTGTCTCGAAGTGTTCGTCGGCCGTCTCCTTGCCCGAAGCTGCCAGCTCCCGAGCGATCCCCTCCTCCTGCCGTTTCCTTCCCATTCAGTGAGCAGGCTGGATTCAAGATGGCGGTCGGCACGGATTGTTTGTGTTTTTTCACCGCATCTCCGTCCTCCTCCCCCGGATCGGCTCAGCGAGCGACAGTCCCGCACGGCCGACGAAGATGACTGACAGGGAGGGTCGTCCAATCAAAAGCGAGGGAAATCGCATTCGTTCCACGAAGGACCGCCCTCCTGTTTGTTGGATATGACAGCGGTACCTTTCCATACAGAGATGACTGACAGGACGAGCTGTCCAATCCAAATCGAGGAAAATCCCGTTCGTCCCACAAAGGACAGTCCCCTGTTTGTGCGATATGACAGCGGTACCTTTACATACTGATATGACTGACAGGATGGAGCATCCAATCCAAAGCGAAGAAAGTCCTACCCGTCCCATGAAGGACAGCCCCCCGATTTGTGGGGTATGACAGCAGTACCTTGACATACTCAGATAAATGACAAGATGGGCCGTCCAATCCAAAGCGAGGAAAATCCCGTCCGTCCCACGAAGGACAGCCCCTGTTTGTGGAATATGACAACGGTCCCTTTCCGTACGGAAACTGACTGGCATTGCCTGTGACCTCCTGGCAAACAGGCGATCGACCTACCGGCAGTTCTGTACGGGAAATGATGCACAGTGACATTCGTCTGCAAGGGTACATGTTTTATTGAACACCTGCACAGATCGCTTTCAAAATATAATAAATGAATTTAAAAAGCTACAATATCTCCTAATTCGTGTGCATATTCGATGCCTTTGAAGTAGCCATTGAGCCCCTGTTACTGGACTGAAATAGATTTATAAAATGTAAACACGGTGACCGAAGTAATTGTATTACCTCCGAAAAGATGAATTAGTAATGAATGCATTGCAACCAAGAACGGAAAAAGGATATGTATAAATATTTTGGAATCTGCTTATTATATTGCATAATTCGCTACGTGAGCTGTGTAATTCTATTTCAAAGGTCTGCTTTTAATATTTAACTGAATCGTCAATACAGACTCCATAATAGCCTAAGGTGCTTTGTCTCATGTCACATGATGAGTGTGTTTCCCAAAACCAGCCTGGCTCCCTATGTTACATCAGTTCACACTCCTGGGGTGCCCCAATCCACCATGTCTTACTCATCACCTTGAAGCAAGGGCGTAGCTTTGGCTGGAACATTGGTGGGGTTGAGGTCTCCACCCATTACGGGGGAAGCATGATTATTGGGGGGTTGTATTAGATGGTTTTGATTTATTGGGGGGGGCTACAACCCCCGCCCCCATAATTTACGCCCATGCCTTGAAGTACCTGTTCTCCAGAGAGGTAGATTCACCTGTTACATGGTGATAATCACATTAAGCATTGCCTGTCTTAATTAAGGCAGCTGATGTCTGAGTTTAAACAGCCCTCCAGATTACCTGGCTTTTGGCTATCTAGCACTGGGTGTTCCTTCTCTCTGTGATCTGCTCAAATATGTCATCCTACAATGTTCTGAGCCACTAAAAATATTGCTTAGTTAGAACTGGTGGCCGCTATTGTGGTGCTGTGTCATGTCCAGACTGTATGGTACAGTAGTGTCACTGTGCTGTTTTTTTCTGCGTGCAGATTACATCCACCATAAATGGTAGGAACCTTTTACCTAGCTATAGGTAGGCATCTGTGAATTACATTCCCCTAGAAGATCAGCAGTTATGCACATTTTAATGTTAGGATGGACACTCTTCAGGGAGCAGGTACAAGCCTCTCGCTTTTTGTACTATAAACAACATTCCCAGCAACCTCTGAGCTGTACAGCCATCAGCCACAAGTGTCACATACTGAGGTTCTCTCACCTTCTCAACCTACATACTTACATCTGCCATGAAATTGTATCTCTTTCTAAAATACTTACAACTGCTGAGCATTAAACCGACTGAAAATGAAATAAATATGTTAGCATCTGCCCTATATGTTATACACATGCGATAAATTTTAATGAAGGACAAAAATATATAAAAAGATCCAAGGCTGATCTTTTTGGCAACGATTGGGAGAAGAAATGGATATTCGTTTTAAAAGCACAGCTCGCAGAACACAAGCGTTTAAGTCTTCAGTGTGCTCACCACAAATTTCTGTAAGAAATAAAATAAAAATAAAAGATTTGACCTCTTTTGCAACAAAATATAATTTTTTCTTTGGCTTAGAACACTTTCTGATTAATATTCCCCCATAATCCACCCTTTAATACCTGAGATCCAGCTGACTGTATTTATCATTTTGCACCATAAATAACATCAATATTCTGATCCATGCAATCAATGTATGTCATTGAATGAGATTGCATCATCCATTGAGACAAATATGAAGGTTTTTGGCTTTGTATGTTATATGAACTATTCAGAATTATTGCATTTCCAATGCAAATTCTGCCCTAGAAAAGATTCTGGAAAAATCCAAGCGGCTTTGAGGAAATCCTTTCTGAGGATAAAAGGGGTCAATGTCTGTTTTTTTGGAATGTCTCCTTAGTATCTATGGATATGTGAGCTGTTAAAGTGCATTTAACCCACTATACGAGGGATACAGTTTGATGCCAATACTTTTTATAGGACTGTAATATTTGGCATGATTTTCTGTTACACATTAGAAAGGTGATTTAGAGATCAGAAATAATATCAAAGGTCAAACAGACCCTCTGGGAAAGCTGTGTGGTGAAATGTTTAGTTTAGCTCACTCTATATAGTCCAACCACAACCAATGTAAGTATGAGCGGTTGGGCTTTTATCATCAAGTACAGATATGTGCCAACGGCTGTGTTACAAGGTGCGGAACTTCTGTGACTTTATAGTGGTCGATACAGGCCTGGGCGTTCAGTGGTGACCTCCACCCACTGAAGATTCAGGGCTTACAGCACTGGAGGCAGGTTACTGACAGCAGCTGGAAATTGTGCCGAACACGGCAGGGCGATAGAGTCTGTTTTGCTGCGTTTCGCTTTGCATGGAAACTTGTGAAAGTGTGCGGCAAAACCCGCGGAGCCTGAAAGCAGCAACGCGGCAGATGTTGTGGTCTTGGCCAAACAGACAAAAATAATGCTGACAGAAGTTCAGGAATATAATTTGAGATTCTAACATCTAGGTAATCCTCAGCTCAAATTTTACTATTAAAAAAAAAAAAACATTTATAAAATTTCAGTAGTTAATAGTACATTAGGAGATGACAGAGGTCTTGTTTCCTCTACACTTTCAGTTTTGTATAAAGTATGTATTGTAATATTATACTTTAAAAGCTTGTGGCCATTTATAGTATGTATAATTGTATTTGTTTGAACAATTTTTCCATTTGAAAAGGGATATGACACTGAACTTGAAAATATACATTTTATGAAAGGATTCTTCTCCATAAAAGGCAATGTGATTTTTTTGGATGTATTAAATGATGTTTTCAGATAAGTATCTGCAGGCTATACAGTTTCCTTCAAAGACTACAGACCATATTCTATAGTCAAACTAATAGCCTCATAAAATTGTGGTCTTAAAACAAACAGCATGAAAGCATCAGTGCAAGTGGCTGGGATGGGAGAGAGCTGCTCACAAGGGCGATGCTCAGTGGCTCAGGGATATTTTCAAAATTTACATCTGGAAACTTACTTTTGACTTGAAGTTTTTAAGCCCACATTAAATGTGGACGGAGCGCTGTCTTGGCACCAGACACGCAGAAGTCTTTGTGTGCAAGCTCCCGTAATGCGGGGCTTTAAGCAAGATCACATTCTGCTTAACCTGCACGCCGTTGTCGGGCAGTGGGGAAGTTTGTTTATGAGATTATTCACTGGAAGCTGCCGGCAGAGGCCGAGAACCGCGGATAGAACATTTTCAAGGTTACATACTGAAGGATTGGTGGTGATGGATGAGGTAATTATTCTTAATCATGAGTGATCAAAAGATACCACCTTCCCTCTGAGGATGGAGGCAGGTGTCTCTAGGTGTCTTCATTCCTCTTACATAGCAAAGCACATGGCCTTAGCAATACTCAAATACTTGGGGTAGTAGTACTCAGATACTTGGGATACTCTTTTTTTTGTCGACACAGATTTGTCATCGTGCTGTTTTTTAGGCCTGTGATGTTACATTTATAAAAGGTTACGCAAGCTGTGTAGGGTCTGAAGCAAGGGGATACTTTAGGCACACATGATATATGGTCACTCAGTGTTAGAAGTTCCTTGTATGCCAGACTACACGTGCCCCCACTTAGTGCTGAAACACTGTCTTTGTTACGGTCACGTGATCCTGCACCTGTGGTTTATTTCCTCCTTTGAAGCCTAACATATAGCACGGGCAATATCAGACAGGTTGGGCATGTTGTTGCTTTATACAGTAACAGACACAGGCCTAAATGGGGTCCTCGTTCTGAACATATGTTATAATATCTTTTACAGAAACGGGCCACCATCTGAAAAACAGCAAGGCTGGGCATATTGTTGTTTCATAACAGGCAAAGGACTGTTCTAGAACATTTTTTATATACTATTTATATAATACTTTTTTATCTGTACCCAGAAATCTTCCTGATCTCTGTATTTTACTCACTACAAAGGAAACCGAAGGTTGATTAACAAAAGTATGTCATCGCAGTACTTGTGTTTTTAAGAAAAGTGATCTTAAAGCAAGCAACAAGGCATTCGAGGAAGCAGCTTTTGATCTATCATTATTACTGTATGTTAGCAGTTTGCTCCAGAAAATCACTTATGTCACTGCTGGATATCGCATCAAAATGTAGACATCTGGTGCCATCGAGAACCTATAAGACAATATGAAATTTATATGGATGGTCCTAGGATTAATAAAAGACTTAAACACACTTTGGCCATAAATTCAATGTTTTGCTTAACATTTCACTCTTTTAAATCTGAACAAGTTAACGATCTGCTGTTTCAGGTTTTGTTCAGCAGAGCTGTTTACTCCGATGGCTTCGTCTTTAAACGCTAAGCCCATGTCTCGCCACCTTGTCACGCGGTGGGCCGAAGCCACAGTAAATCTGGTTAATTCCGTTTGGCTTCGATCGCGTTAATGGTGAAGGAGCGGCTTTGCACACAGAGCACAGAGACCCAGGCCACTCCTGAACATGCAGAGCCCACATCAGGCCTAGACTATTAAACATTCCTTATATACCCTTATGGGAGCAAAAGTGAAACGTAGTTTGTCTTAAAAATGGCCCTGTAATCTACCTCACGCTTACATTTTTGATACCAGGCAATGTTATTGTGTTATTGGGACGGCTAATATTACTGGAGAGCATGTTGATGCTTTTGGAAGTTGCCATGGTAAAATGGACTTGCCCATGGTTATAAAACTGTGCCCAGTTCTTTCAAGCCTGGCAGTACTTTGCTGTAATTTTACCACATTGTCAGGGGACGTGCCGTTTTGAAAGCATGAAAATGTGTTCCTGATGTATCGGAGAGGGGAGGATTGTGAGTTACACTGAGCATCCATCCATCCATCCATGATCCATCTTCTGCTTATCGTGGTCAGGGTCATGCCGACGGGGAGGGGAGGGGGAGGATTGTGTCATAATGCAGGGCACACCCTCTGAACTAGCAGAACCCGGAGCAGCAAGAGGAAACCCACACAGGAATGGAGAACATGCAAACTCCACACACACACAAATATAGCTACACACACACACAGCAGGCACGCGCACACACACACACACACACACAGGTTTGTAATTAAATCTTTCTGGGAACTCCATATATTTCTATCGGGGAAAACTCTAATCCCAACATGACGACCTAAACCCCTACCCAGCCTTAACCTTAACTGCAAGCTACCAAACAAAATGCGAGACTTTTAGCATTTTTACTTTTTCAATTGCATTCAAAAATCTTTATGGGGACCTGAAAAATGGTTTATTACATTGTGGGACACACACACATACAAGTGTACACACGCACACACACACACATGTAAACACACACATGCATATAAACACACACATACGTGTAAACAAACAAACACACACACACAGAGCACTGAAGTAATTTGAACCCCTGACTTGGTCTGAGGCAGCAGTGTTACTCACAACAACCCCTTATACCT